ACACTGTCCGCGACTGCAAGTGCTGGGCCCGAGAAAGACTCCCTCTCACCACCCTCATCAGTGACGAGCAGTGGGCCCGTCTTCCGCCGCACACAAGACACTGCGGGCTCTTCGATGAAGACCCAGCCCTCCTCGACCTGCAGGCCGACCTCGCGAGGGACCCGCTACCTCAGCCCATACCGCGGCCCCCACCTGAGGGAGATCCTGCGGCTTCAGCCCAGGACTCCTACACCACCTACCTTGACCACGACACTGGTTGGACATGGGTCTACGCTGCCACGGACGGTGCATGCACCAACCAAGCCATCCCATTGCTAGCACGAGCGGGCTACGGCGTCTACTACGGCATCGACCACCGCATGAACTACAGTGCACGTGTTCACGGCCTAACGCAGAACGCCCAGCTTGCGGAGACCCTCGCCATTGTCCACCGTACGGCATGTGCTGAACGGCCCGTGCACGTTTTCGTGGACAACCAGGCGGTGGTCGATGGGTTCCAAAGCATCATCGACGGACACCCAGCACCGCAGGGCACACACGTGGAGCTCTGGGAAAGGATCCACCGATGTGTTACGGCCAAGCCCAACATGTTCCGCGTCGAGAAAATCGCCAGCCACCTGGGAGACATGGGCATCGACCTCGGGCTCATCGGGCCCATTGCGGAGGAGTTCAATCGTCAGGCTGACGCCCTCGCCACAACGGCGGCACGCACTCACAACCTTCCAGACGACATTGTCGAAGCTGCCAAAACACGACATCGCCAAGCGACCGTGCTTCATGGGGTCGCTGTCGCCATCTACGAGCGCAGACACCGCACACTCCCGCTCCCACACCGCAGGGCTGGGTTTACAGCTGCGGAACTCAACAAAATGGAACCAAACCCCCTGCTGTCGGACCAGGCACCACCCGCGGCTGGACCAGACATCCCACAGAACCCGGACGAGCTCTGGGCCGAGGCCCAACGGGCGATATTCGACGAACAGGAGGACGACCCGTTCGGCTTCGGCGGGGGACTTGACTTCCTAGGCGACGGGCCAGCCAGCGCCAACCTTGCCCCGTCGGGCATCCGCACGACGCCCTCGACTCCGCCACCGAGAGCGGCACCGCGCCCACATGACGACGCCGCTCACCTCCAAGACGCTGACGAACAGGAGGACGACCCGTTCAGCTTCGGTGGGGGATTGGACGTCTTGGACGACGGCCCAGCCAGCGACAACCCTGCCCCGTCGGGCAACCTCTCGACGCCTACCGCGACTCCGTCTCCGAGAGCGACATCGCTCCCATATGACGATATCGGTCACCGCCAAGACGCCGACGACGACCCGGGTGACCCCCGCGGACTGAGTGGCATAGACGACGCACCGCCGACACCCCACGCTGCCGACCATGCCGCCCTATCGAGACGCCACCCTACTACGCGGCTGACCTCAGAGCCCTCGCACGGCATCATTATTGGCCCCACCGCGCAAACCACTCCGCCCCCCCACCAGCGGCAGCCCGCGGGGGCGGCTTCAGCCCCCCCGCAGGGCACTGAACCAGGCAGGCCCTCGCATCCCGTCCACGCTTCCACCGTTGCTGAGCGAGAGGATGCGGCTCTTCCGACCTCTCGGGGCGTGGCCCTAGCGGCTCCAGCCCTGGGGCCGCGTGCTCCCCTCCAGTCACCTTTCTAGGGTGACGGACGTCAGCATACGGGGTGCCGTACTACGCTAGTCCACCACCTGGCCAGGCGTACCGAGGACCTCGCCCCTGTCACGAGGCCCGCGGCCGCTGGCACTGAGCAACCACCCCTCACCGACCGCGAAACCGAGCTGTCCCAGGCTATGGCCGCTCTCCAGCAGAGGTGTGCTGCTCTCGCCGCGGACCTCGCCGCCGCTCAAGCCCGTCAAGGCCCTCTACTCCAGCGCCTCCACAGCGCCGGGCGAGCCTTCGCCGAGCTGCTTACGCCCTCGCCCGATGGTGCCGTGCCGCCACTCACCATCCAAGCTATGCTGTCATCGTTCCGCGGCGCTCCACCTGGTGCCCCGCGCTAATCTCCTCCTTTCTGCCTGCCCGTGAGTACGCGTGGCTCCGCGTCCACGGTGTCAGGGCGTGGGGGCGGGGGGTGCCCCGTCACTGCGCGCCGCTTTGCGGCCAAGCGCCCAACTGGCGGTCTGCCAAGCCGCCTAGCCACGTGTCAGCACGTCGCCTTTCTTGTTGGGGCCTCTTTCTTCACGCGGTCTGACAGGTGAGATCTTCACCGTCTGTCCGCCGTCTGTAGCGTCTGTCGCACTGCGCCGGGGGAGGGGGTTTTTGTTGCCCGCCCTCGTATCTAAAGGCTGCACCGCCGCAAATAGTGTTTGCGAGTTGTCGCACCGCAGTGCGCCTCGCGGACGGACCCTGGTCCGCCTACTTGTCCGCTCTCTCTCTCTCTCTCTCTCTCTCTCTCTCTCTCTCTCTCTCTCTCTCTCTCTCTCTTTCTCTCTTTCTCTCTCTCTCTCTCTCTCCCTGCCGGCTGTGAGGATGTCTCGAGCGAGCAGGCAGTGCTGTAAGTATGGGGCATGTTGCCCACACTCATGCCCACTCACACTCAAACGGAGGACGCGTCAGCAAGGATGTGTAAAAGAATCCTATCACGCTCAGAGAGCGTTACAATATACGTTTCGCGTGTCGTGAGGCGTTCCTTGACATGCACCCATAGAAAGACTTACCAAGGGATTGATATGCATGGAAATCCATGGAAAGATGTGCCAAGAGAATGAGATGCACATACGGGGAGCCCCGTGTCGAGTAATTATTAGTAGTAGTAGTCGTCGTACGATTAGTGGCAGTGGTAGTAGTAGTAGTAAATATGTGTAGTGACAGTAGTACTAGTGGTAATAGTAGTAGTGGCAGTAGCTGTAGCTGTAGCTGTAGTAGTAGTAGTAGTAGTAGTAGTAGTAGTAGTAGTAGTCGTCGTCGTAATCGTAGTAATAGTAGTAGTAGTAGTAGTAGTAGTAGTAGTAGTAGTAGTAGTCGTAGTAGTAGTAGTAGTAGCAGTAGTAGTAGTAGTAGTTGTAGTAGTAGTAGTAGTAGTAGTAGTAGTAGTAGTAGTAGTGGTAGCCGTAGCAGTAGTAGTAGTGGTACTCGTAGTCGTAGCCGTAGTAGTCGTAATCATAGCATAATAGCAGTAGTCGTAGTAATGGTGGTCGCAGTAGTCGCAGCCGTAGTGGCCGTAGTAGTCGTAGCAGTCGTAGTAGTAGCAGTAGTAGTAGTAGTAGTAGTAGTAGTAGTAGTCGTAGTAGTAGTAGTAGTAGTAGTAGTAGTAGTGGTAGTAGTAGTAGTAGTAGTAATGAGTCGTAGTCGTCGCAGTAGTTTTCGTAGTCGTAGTCGTAATCGTAGTCGCCGTAATAGTCGTAGTAGTAGCAGTAGTTGTTGTTGGAGTGGTCGTAGTATGAGTAGTAGTAATAGTAGTAGTAGTCGTAGTAGTAGTAGTAGTAGGAGTAGGAGTAGGAGTAGTAGGAGTAGTAGGAGTAAGAGTAGTAGTAGTAGTAGTAGTAGTAGTAGTAGTAGTAGTAGTAGTAGTAATAATAGTAGTAGTGGTAGTCGTAATAGTAGTATCAGTAGTAGTCGTAGCAGCAGTAGTAGTAGTAGTGGTTGTAGTAGTAGTAGTAGTAGTAGTCGTCGTAGTCGCAGTCGTAGTCGTAGTCGTAGTCATAGTAGTAGTCGTAGGAGTAGGAGTAGTCGTAGTCGTAGTAGTAGTAGTAGTAGTAGTAGTAGTAGTAGTAGTAGTAGTAGTAGTAGTAGTAGTAGTCGTAGTAGTAGCAGTAGCAGTAGCAGTAGCAGTAGCAGTAGCAGTAGGAGTAGGAGTAGGAGTAGGAGTCAAGCTAGCCAGCTCGAGCGAGTCAAGCATGGCATGCCCAGTCCCACCCGCCCCCCCACAACATAAGAAGCAAAGCTGGCACAACTGGGGGCCGAAGTCACACCGGCCAGCCGGTTTGGTACAGCTGATGCGGCCGCGATGGCGGTTGCCGACGGGAACTGGCGAGCGCGTGTTGAATGCCGAAAAACAGAAACTGTGTATTGTCTTTTGCAGATTAGAATGGGACGGATTGGATGGGCGGGCGCGGGGTGTGCGCCGCGTCCCATTCCTGCCATGCATTTTGCGACGTGGACGACAGGACGTCCATGCGACGGTGCCAATGACGGCGACGACTCTAGAAGGATTTGAGCATGCGCTCGCGGCGACGCGCGCGCATGTCGCCCGCGTGGTATTTTTTGCACAGGATTCGCGGCCTGGGTGCATGACAGAGCATCGCGAGTGCACCGCGCGATGACGTGAAATCGCTGGATTTGACCGAATTCTTAAGATTCCTATGGTTTTCCTATGATTTCAGCAAGAGAGCCCGGGCGGGAAATTTGTACAATTTTTGTGAAAAAGCATTGGGTTTTTGATGTTTTTATGTTGAAATGCTTGCAAACACACGGTGTTCGGTAGGATTCTGACATGAACGCGCGCGTGTGCTCTTTGTGGTATTTTTTGCAATGGATTATCGCCGTGGACGACAGGACGTCCATGTCGAGAGGAAAAAATAAGAAACATGTTGATTTTGTATTGTTTTTTACAGGTTAGGATGGGACCACCCGGATGGGGCCCCTATCTGCCGGCCTGAGGGGGGAGTAGGAGTATATTCTAATACGGAATAAGGATAGGAGTAGGAGTAGTAGGAGTAGTCGTAGTCTGAGAGCTCCGAGGCGCACAGGCAGCGGGAGGAGGTGTTTGCTGTCGTCGTTGTGCCTCGCCGCGCCTCGCCGCCAGCCTCGCGCCGCGCTTCCGCGTGGCTCAAGATGGAGAAAGGCCCTCCTCCCCCTCAAGGGTGCTCGGAGGAGGGGCCTCCCGGGGTTCCCGGGCCCGCAGGGGCCGCGGGGGCCCGGGCCGGCCCGAGCGGCCGGCTTTGCAGGCCCCGAGGGGCCGAGGCTCGCGCGGAGCCTCACGTGTGGGCTGCTCCGGGAAATCGTTTCCCGAGCGGGCCGGGCCCCGGGCGATGGCGGCGCTGGAGGGAGCGTCGCCGGTCGACGACGACGCTGGCGCCGGCGGCGAGGCCGCGGCGCCTGCGGAGGCGGCGGCGCCCGCAGCGGCGGCGGCGCCGTCGAAGCAGGCGGAGGCGGCGGCGGCGGCGCCCGCCGCGGCCGTGGGCGTGGAGGTGGCTGGCTACGCAGGCTCGTTGCTGGAGGCCATCGCCGACGGCGCGGTGGAGAGGGCGCCGCTGCCCACCTTCGGCGACTGGGTGAAGTGGCGCGCGGCCGCGGGCCGGCGGCTTCGCACGGCGCCCGCGATCGCCGCGAGCGAGAGCGCGCTCTGGCGGAGCACGGTGGAGGCGCTGCACGGCCAGGACTGGCAGGAGCAGCAGCGCGCGCTGACGACCGCCCAGTTCGCCGGGGCGGCTTCGGCGCCGCCGGAGGTCGCGACCCCGGCGGCGGCGCCCGCGGCGGGCGGCAGCCCCTCGACGGCCATCCTGCGGCTGCTCGACTCGCCGCTGGGGCGCGCCAGGCTCCGACGCCGCGGGCGCGCTGTCGGACGGCAGCTGGGGGCCACTGACCGACGTGGAGGTGCTGGAGCGGCTGCTCAAGGACATCGAGGTCTCCGAGACGAGACGATGCGGGACTACGAGCGGCGGCTGCTGCGGGCCTGCGCGGTCCTGACGCTGCGGCGGCAGGTGGTGCCCGACGGCGCCGTGGAGTTCGGCATGCGGAAGGCGCGCTTCCTGGCGGAGGCGCGGGTCCACCCCGTGGGCGTCGCTGCGGCGCTGGAGGCGCGGTTCCGCTCGGTGCTGGACGTGGAGACGGAGGAGGCCGACGAGGACGCGCGGGCGCTCATGGAGCTTCTCACGGCGGCGCGCGGGGGCGGCTCTCGCGACGCGGTGGCCGGCGGCCCGCGCGCGAGGCCAGCGGCGGCGGCGGCCCCGCCGGCGAGCGCCCCAGGCGGCGCGGCCGCGGGTGCGGGGCCCCCCTTCCCCTCGCCCCCCGAGGGCCCGCCGCCCGGCTTTCAGCTGGCCTCAGTTGCTGCGGCCGCCGCGTCCAGCGACGCGAGCCTGGCCGCGGCCCCCCGCGGGCTGGCGGGGGCCATCGGGCACCGCTACGACAAGAAGGCCTCCACCATCCAGGTGAAGCCGCAGCGCAACCTGCCGACGTTGGGCGACGGCGACTTCGACGTGGACTCGTTCGTAGAGGAGTTCGAGGAGATGGTTGGCCTCGCGAACGACGGCGCTGGCATGACGTCAACGGAGATGGTGCGAGCGCTCGGCGCCTGCTTGAGGGGCTCGCGGCAGCGCGCCTACAAGGTCGAGCTGAAGCAGGCTCGGCGATCCGGCAGGCTGGCGGAGAACCGCGGCGCACCAGGGCCTGAAGGAGCGGCTCATGGAGTTCAAGGAGGGCCTGCTGGAGAAGCAGCACAAGTTGAACGCCGAGTGGCGGACGCTCTCGCGTGGGAAGATGAGCGCGCTCGAGTTTCAAGCGACCTTCGAGAACATCGTGGCGGAGATGGAGCTCGCTGGCGCGGGGAAATCGGGCCGCGACCTGCTGCTCAACAATCTCGCGCTCGTTCCGCCTGTTCATCGCGCCGAAGTGCTGAAGAACCGACGTCTCTACCAGCGGCCTGGCGGGCATCCAGAGGTTAGCGGGGTCGAGACGTGGCGCGAAGCTCATCGAGTCCTTCTGAGGTCGAAGGAAGCCGAGAGCTTGGCCAAGGCCCTCGTCGCGGCCGTCGGCGCGGACCCCTCGCCGGGTGCTGGGGCTGGCGGCGGCCGCCGCAAGCGCGGCGGCGGCGGCGGGCCTGGGCCGCCCGGGGTCGGATCGGTCGGCGATGGCGGCAGCGGCGCGGCGCCCCCGAAGGTCTGCTTTGAGACGCGCGACAACGGCGCGCGCGCGGAGATGTTTGCAGGTTCTCTCGCGACCGGGCGGTGGTAGCCGAGGTGCGGAAGGCGAAGGGGAACTCGGGCAAGCCGGAGGGCATGGGCGCTGGCGGCAAGAAGGGCGCTGGCGGGCGCGGCTCGGACGACGGCGGCAAGGGCGGTCAGAAGCCGCAGCTGCGCCTCCAGTTCCCGCGTGGGGGCTGCAGCAAGAGCGAGAAAGATTGCAAGTTTACCCATTCAGGCCAGGCGGCCCAGAAGGTGATCGCGGCCGTCTACGCCGGCGCCGCGGCGAACAGCTCGCGACCCCCAGGCCCTGGCGGCCCGGGCGCGGCGAGCAGCGGCCAGGGCGCGGCGCCCGCTGCTAGCGAGGGGGCTCGAGGCGCGGCGCCGAAGGCCCAGACCTCGCTGGCCGGCAAGCTCGCGCGGGCGCGCCCGCGCGGGGGCGTTGTCGGCGCGAGTTGCGACCTGCCCAGCGCGAGCGCGATCCCGGAGTCTTCGATGCCAGCAGGCGCGTTGAAAGACTTGGACCAGATCCCGGCTTGCGCGTGGACTCAGGTTCAGGAGCCTGACGACGGCTACCACTACTTGTGCCACAGCTACGTGTAGAACCTCTGCATCAGGGCGCCCCCAGACGGCGGGGCGGCGTTCTCCTCGACGTGGGAGGCCGTCGTCGCGCGGATCATCAACAGCACGATCGCCGAAGGCAAGTCCCCGCAGGGCGAGGACTGGCCGATCCCGGGGTTGATGCGCCGGTGGCGGGGCTCGCAGGCGTCCTCCGTGGCTGATCAGGGCGACCTCAAGATCCGCGGGATGGTGGACCTGCGGCTGGTCTTCGCGGGGTTGGACGGCGCCCGCGTGGTTCGGGCGTTTCGGCTTCGACTGCTGCGCGGAGGCTGGGACAGGCCGCTGGTCACCATCCTTGGCGCGCCTGCCTTGGGCGCGCCACCCTTGGGCATCGGTCGTCGGCCGACGCCGCGGGGCCATTTCTTGCCAGGCCTGGACATCGCGGCGAAGCGCGTCGAGGCCGACGCCGTGCAGGCCGAGCTCCTCGCCGTCGCGGCTGTCTTCGGCCTTCGGTTACGACCGGCCCGTGTCCAGCGCCGCGGGGGCCCTGGCGTGGCCTGGCGCTTCCTGCCCAAGCTGCCCCATCTGCTTGATTGGCGGCGAATGCCCAGCAGAGTTCGGCGGCGACGAGACGGGCGTGATCGCGCTGGGCGACGCCGAGACCAGCTTCCCACTCTACTTAGCGGCGAGGGCTGCGCGCGGCTGGAGCTCGGCGGCTGCGCTCCGGTGCCGGCCCGCCCGGCTGGCGGGGCGGCCGGCGCCGTCGGCGACGCGGCGGCGAACGGCGCCGCAGCGGCGCGGGCCGCGCCGGGGCCCTGGAGTGGGCAGGGGCAGCTGATCCTGGCGGGCAACTGGGACCAGCCTGGCGTCAGCATCGAGGTCGGCGAAAACATCGGAGCAGTACTTCGCGCCGACGGGCCGCCAACTGACCACGGGCCCTCGGTGGCTTACGCGTGGCGGGGCTGGGGCGAGCTGCGGGGCGTCGTCGAGCTGGAGGTGCCCGCCGACGAGTACTACGCGGAGCGCTTGGTCTATTGGCAACGCAAATGTCTTAAGGCTGCGGCCGCGTTCTTGGAGCACCTGCTGGCGATCGAGGGGCTGCTGGACGTCTGCACCGCGGCTGGGTACTCGAGGGGCGCCGAGAAGTCCCTCGACAGGCTCGCGCAACTTGATGCGCTCGGCGAGATAGCGGGCCGCGAAGGCAGCGTGGCGTGCGAGCGACACTTGGAGATGATCAAGAACTGGTCGGTGCTGGAGGATGTGGCAGCGCTGCGGCGCTTCCTCGGCGCCTTCAACTGGATCCACAACCACTTCCCCAAGGAGGTTCAGAAGCCGCTGGGCACCCTGACGCAGCAGCTGAAGAAAGACGCCGAGTGGCCGATGACCCAGGAGAAGGTTGCCGCCCAGCGCGCCATCCAGCGGCTGGCTTGCGAGGCCATCCGCCTCGCGGTGGTCGACATGAGGGTGCCATATCGGGCGACAGGCCGCTCGAGCAGGTGGCGGACTTCTGTCCGTATGGGTGGGGCGGCCGCGTCTACCGGCTGGCCGCCGATCGTCGCGCCCTCCGCGCCCTGGCGATGCACGGCGGCTGCCGCAGCTTGGCCCAGAGCATCTGGCATCCTAGGCGCAGCGAGCTGCGCGCGCAGCGCGAGACCAGGCGGGCGGCACGCAAGGACTTCGGGCGGCTGCCTGCCCTGTGCTGGACCGACCACGCCGCGGCGGTGAAGGGCGCGACGGGCGAGGCCGAGACAGATTCCACCGTGGCCCGCTGGGTCGGCGAGATCGAGAGCGACGGCAGCAGGCCGATGAACCTCTCCGGTCGTAGCGCGGCTCTTGGCGACGGCCCCTTCCGCGAGTGCGAGGCCCGCGGCGAGTTCCTGCGCGAGCAGGCGCGCTCTTTGGCGAACATCACGATCGAGGACATCATCGGGGGCGACTCAGTCGCCCCCGATGATGTCCTCGACTGACTGCCGCGACTGCCACCCTGGCGAGGCGGCCCCTTGGGGCCGCGACGAGACGCCCGACGTGACCACCGTGCACCGCGCAGTTGGTAAGGGCGTCTGGGGCGGGGCGCGAGAAGGGCGACGCTCTCGCGCTGCGCCTGCCGGACTACGGGTGCGAGAGGCGGCGGGGCGCGGAGCAGGCGCGGGCGGCGCGGCAGCTGCAGCTCGCGGCGCCTAGCATGCGCCTTCGCTCGGCCCCTCGCGACCCTCCGCTGGCGGATGGCGCCGGCGGCTCGCGCTACATCGCGCCGCCCCGCTTCCCAGGCGATCAGAGCAGCAAGGCGCGCAAGCAGCTCCGCAACGACGTGCTGACGGCGGTGGCGGCGATGCTGCGAGAGCGCTCGGCTCGGTGGCCTAAGGTCGTCACCAGCATGGGCCACGGGGCGCCGGTGGCCGCGGCCGCTGCCCACCCCCGCCTGGCGGGGGCGGCTCTCGTGCTGCGGTATGCGCCAGAGGCGGAGGGCATGCTGATCGCTGAGGCGTGGCTTAATGTCAGGGCGTTCGTTGCGATCGGGCCGCGCGCCCACATTCCCAGCAAGATCGGCGTCGTGCAGGAGGCTTTCCCCGAATTCGGAGCGCCCGCTTTCGGCGTCGAGCGCCCCGCCCCGCTGTTCCTGGTGGAGGGCGCCAGGGCTCGCCGCAGCTTCGGGCGCGACTTCGGCGAGGCGCTGGGCGTGACCATGGCTGCCACGTCGGGCGAGGTCCTCATCGAGGAGGTGGTCTCGGGGCCTACGCGGCAGCTGGAGTTCAGCGGTGGGCGCTGCGCCTGCGGCCGGGGCTCGCTGGCCCTGGCGCGCTGCGGACAGTGCATTCGCGCGGATCGCGATCTGGAGGGCGAGGCCAGGCTGGCGGAGTGCCCGGAGGAGTCTCTGGGCGAGGCTGGCGCGGGCGAGGTCGCCGCAGTGCCGGCTCGCGCGGTGGCGGCGACGGCGGCGGTGGCGCCGGGCCCGTGCGTCGCCGTCTCGCCGGAGCTCGTGCAGGAGCTACTGGAGTTCGGCGGCGGGCGCTCGGACTTCGCGTGCAGCAACGTCAGGATTCGCAGGGCGGCAGCGGCTGGCGTCGCGCCGCTGGAGGCCGCCCGCGGGTTGCCATGTCGTGACCGGCGAGAAGGCGGCGCTGGCTCAGCCGCGCGTGGAGACGGACTTGGAGCTCGTCACCGAGGTCGACCTGCAGGAGCTGAATCTCCCCGCGGGCGCAGAGCTGATCCAACTCTTCGCCGGCGCCCGGCTGCTCTGGGACAGCGGCGCGCAGCATCCTGCCTTAGGCGCCACTCATGTACATCGGCACTGCCACGTCACACATGCACATAACATGCGTAACTTGCACTCCATGATCGTTAGCGCGAACGTCTGCCCATGGTGTCGCACATGTTTCGCAAGCCGAGCTTCCTGCTTACGCCATGTCATTACAATGTCTCGGTCAGCTGCCCTACCCGAGCCACTTCTTCCGACTTCAAGCCAGAAGAGAAGAGGTTCTACACGTGCGGAGTCTGCCACAGAGAGGACTTTGATCTTAACGAACATCTCGTACACGTATCGACACACGCACCAGGGCCTCCTAGTGACAGCCATGTCGTGGCGAGCAGGAGGAGGAAGCAGCAGACCGAGGACAGGGGCGATGGAACAAGCGGCAGAGGCCATCGCACCCGAGCGGAAGGGAGCACGTGGCGCCCCGAAGAAGCTTGCTGGCAACAAGCCTGGCTCAGGCGAAGGCGCAACACACGAGGAGACGCTGCTGCTACAGAAAATGTCGCTCAACAACGCGCAGATGATGCGCCTGGTCAGGCAGCCTTTGGGACTTCTTCCTGGTCGAAAACGGGAACAAGGCGATCGACGCCGCGGCGGCAGCAGGCATAACTTACGCAGAGGACGTGAAGTCGAAGGGCAGCAAGGAGATGGGGTCCCCACATCTACACGTGGCCGCGGACTTTTTTCAGGAGATAGCCAAGAGCGCGGACATCGAGGGCGAGACAGCGACGGTCTTGACACAGTTCTCGATGCTGATCGAGATAATGCAGAAGGAGGAGCTCGCGGACATCATTTCCTACTTTCGGGTGAAGAAGGCGTACGCGGACCCAGGGCAGACGCAGAAGTGGAAGCTTCACATGATGTTCAACGCCTTGGCAGCGACTCCGTGGACGGAACACAACGAGGGCCAGGTGAATGCAATTCGCGCGGGCAACGAGCTGCCGCAAGTGAAGCTGGGGAACTACACGGTTCAAGACCTACGGCTGGCGACGTGCAGGGGGCTACGGGCACTCAAGGCGAATCAGGTGTTCGGGGCGCCTCCACCGTCGGCGCTTGAGCGCCAGCTTCAGAGCGCGCTCAAAGCGCGCCAGCAGCTCAGCTCGTGAACATGGCGGGGCTCCGTGAGATGGCGCTGCGTGGTAGTGAACGTGCCCGCGCACTGCTTGCTCAACTACGGCAGCAATAGTGAGCAGTGAGAGGGCGGTGCAGTGAGCAAGGAATGCGTAGCCATGGAACGGTCTTTTTCTGTTTTTTTCGCCACCTTGCAACGGCCAGAGGGCCAGGCGGATATTGCGATGTCAGATTGGATGGGTTTCTTCAGTACGTGGTGACCCACATCGGGAGCGAATGGAGTTCACATTGCTGTCGGCTTTCGCCTGCCCCGATTTGGGATCGACGCTTTCTTTCAGGGACCCCCGCGTCAGACTTTTTAGCCTCCGGAGCCCCCTTGGCCATCCCCGTCCCGAGCATGCAGTGACGTTCGGGTATAGGGTGCTTTAGTGAGTGCGCCGTGTCCTTTGGAGCATAGCTCTCGAGGAAAGCCAAAGCTGTGGCCGCACGGACGCACGTTTTTATGCTTGTTTAGTGGGCAAGCCCACTAACTTTTCGGAGTGGAGGGGAGGGATGGAGATGGGGGGGACGGGACTTCCAGATGCTACAACCTACACATAATAACCCGAGCAGGGGGTGATGGGCCAGAAGGCCATAGCCTCCGCCGTTCATATCAGTTTTGTGTTTGAGGGGCTCGGCGCCGAGCTGCAGCGGGCCCATAGGGCCTAACCAGGCCAGGGGGCCCGTAGGCTGACCCCTGCTATGCCGATAATGCCGCCAGCAGCTACCGAGCTCGCAGTCACAGCGAGACAGGCCATGAGACCGAGCACATGACCTCGAGTTGCCCAGGCTTCCGACTCCGACTCCTCCTCCTCTTCCTCCTCTTCCTCGTCCTCGTCCTCATCGTCATCGTCATCCTCCTCCTCCACCTCGCCCTCTTCTTCCTCGTCTTCCTCTCCCTCCCATCGTCCTTTCATCATCGTCCTCCCATTGTCGTCCTCCCCCTCGTCGGCCTCCATCATCGCCCTCCCATTGTCGTCCATCGTCATCGTCCTCCCCCTCCTCTGCTTCGTCCTCGCCCCCATCGTCGTCGTCATCCTCCTCCTCCACCTCGCCCTCTCCTTCCTCGCCCTCCCTCTCCCCCCCCCTCGTCCTTTCATCGTCGCCCTCCTATTGTCGTCCCCCCCCTCGTCGGCCTCCATCATCGCCCTCCATTGTCGTCCATCATCATCATCGTCATCCCCCTCCCCCCCCTCCTCGCCCTCCTCGCCCCCCTGCTCCCCCTCCTTTTCTCTCTCCACATTATCCTTGCATCCTCTCTTCTTCCGCGTTCTCCTCGTCCCCTGTTTACTCTTCCTGCTTCCCCCTCCTTTCCCTAGATAACTGCAGCGCAATCTTTTTTTCCACTTCCTTCTCTGATCAAGGCAACTCGCCAAGGCAAAGTTGCTGGGCGGGCTGGCGTGGATGCGCGGGGCTTGAAGAAGTCCTTGCGGGCTGCGACGGCGCGCAAAAATCCGCCGCCGCGCTTGTGCGGCATTGGTTTGTTCAGTGAACGTGGTTTAGGTGGCGGGCGGGCCGCGGGCCCCCCACCTCCACTTGGAACGAATGCAAATGCATCCCGCCGCAGGCGCCAACAAAACATAGTTTGCACGCTGAACGCGGTTTGGGTCGCGGGTGGGCCGCGGGTTCTCCGCCGGGAACGGATGCAAAAGATGCCCGCCGCAGGCGCCGAAAAAAAAAGGTTTGCGCCCTGAGCGTGGTCGCGGGTGGGCCGCGGGCTCTCCGCCTGAAACAAATGCAAAAGATGCCCGCCGCAGGCGGCGAAAAAATTGGCTTGTGCCCTGAACGTGGTTTGGGTCGCGGGTTGGTCGCGAGTTGGTCACGGGGTGGGTCGCGGGCTCTCCACGTGGAAGGAATGCAAAAAAACGCCCGCCGCAGGCGCCGAAAATGGTGGTTTGTACCTTGAACGCGGTTTGGGTCGAAGGTGGGTCGCGGGTGGGTCGCGGGGTGGGTCGCGGGTGGGTCGCGGGTGGGTCGCGGGTGGGTCGCGGGTGGGCCGCGGGGTGGGCCGCGGGCGGGTCGCGGGGTGGGTCGCGGGGTGGGTCGCGGGGTGGGTCGCGGGGTGGGTCGCGGGGTGGGTCGCCGGGTGGGTCGCGGGGTGGGTCGCGGGTGGGTCGCGGGCGGGTCGCGGGTGGGTCGCGGGGCGGGTCGCGGATTGGGTCGCGGGTGGGTCGCGGGGCGGGTTGCGGGTGGGACGACGACAACAACAAGTAACAACAACAAACAACAAACAACAAACAACAAACAAACAAACAAACAAACAACATCAACAACAACAACAACGAGAATCCGCACCGCGGAATTCCACTTCAGCCACGCACCCAGGGGCAGTGAATGACCGTTCGGCCCCCTCACTCTGATCTACTTACCCAGCAGCCTACTCCGACATCTTCGCGGGCGCGTTCGGCTTGGCTTGGCATCGCGCGCTGCATGAGCGCTTCGCGGGCCGCGCGACGGGCGCCTTCGCGGTGCGCGCCGACTTGGACTTCGCTCGCGGCGATCGGGAGGCCGTCGAGGTGCCGGACGTCGCGGCGTTCAGCCGCTGGCCGCGCGGGGTAGCCGAGGTCGCCGTGCGCCCGCGGGTTGCCTGGCCGGAGCGCGGAACCGCCGAGTTCGACGAGGAGGTCGCGGAAGGGCGCAAGCTCGAGGGCGCTGACCTGGCCGCGCGCGAGGCGTTCGCTACCAAGGTTCGGGGCTGCGAGCCAGCAGCCGGCAGCGAGCCGTTCGAGTTGTCGAAGTCGCTTCGGGCTCATATCATTGGGGACCAGTGGAAGGGCGAGGAGCTCGGGCCGCTTCGCTTGCAGCTCCGAGCCGCCCCTGCCCTCGACCCGGCCCCGAACGCGCGGCGTCTTGGCGACGATCTCGCGCTCGAGAAGTTCGCGGCGGTCGGGCCCGGCGAGGAGCGCTGGCTGCTTGTGCTACCTGCGACGGGCGGCCCGGGCTCAGGCCCCCGGCGGCGCTTCATCTTCCTGCACGTCCATGCTGGGCCGTCCGGAGGGCACAAGACAGTGGTGGCGACGCGAGAGTGCGCGCGCCGGCTGGTGACGTGGCCTGGGCTTGCTGCGGACATCGAGAAGTGGTGCGCCAGTTGCTGGGCTTGCCTGCGTTTCAGGAAGCAGGCGACCAAGGTCCAGGCTAGCTTCATCGTAGCTCGGCATCGTCTTCCCTGCCATCGCGTGGTCATCGACATGGAGGGCCGCATCGCGCCCCAGGACGTCGACGGGCACGCCTACGTTCTGACGCACATCTGCGTGACTACCGGGGCTCCGCTCTTCGAGCCTCTCAAGCACTTGCAGCACTCGGAGGTTCGGAAGGGGCTTCTTCAGGTGCGCGACTCGGGCCAAGACATGGCCGATGCTCCTCAGCTCGGATCGCGGCAAGGAGTTCTGCAACGCAATGATGGGGGATCTGTGGGCGCTCCTCAACTTTGCTGGGCGCTTCGGTACGTCTCGGAGGCCGTGCGAGCACGCTGACGCCGAGCGGTCCACATCGAGTGCGCCAGGGAGATCAGCATCTTCTCGCACGAGGTCTTCAGGTGCGCCCCCGGCCAGTGGGCCGAGCAAATCCCTATCGCCGTGTTCGTGATCTGGAACTCGCCTGGGAAGTCCGCGCTGGCGCCGCGGGATCTGTGCATGGGCTGGTCGCTCGCTTCACCGCTGGAGCGTGAGCTGCTGCCACTGGAGCCGGCCAATCGGGAAGCAGTCTCTGACGCGGCGGCGGCGCAGTTCGAGCAGTTCCGGCGGCTGCGCGAGATCTAGGTGCCTTCAGCATCGAGCTCGCGCTGGACGGCGTCGGGCTGAATTGGCGAATCGCACCAGGTCTTCTAGGCGGCCCGAGGAGGGCGACAAGGCGTTGTTCAAATACCCGAAGCTGAGCAAGGCCGTGGCAGGCCACGCACCGGGACGGCGCCCGCTGCGCAGTCCCTTCGAGGTGCTAGCTGCCAAGGGCAACGTGGCGACGTTGCGCGACCCCGAGACCCAGCAGGTGCTTGAGGACATCCACGGGGATTTCTGGATTGGAGTGCCGGGCCTGGTGGACGACGCGGAACGCATCATCCAGTTGGGGGAGGGCGACGGCCGTGGCCGCGCCTCGGCAGGCCAGCTGCTTGCTTCGAGGCTGCTGCTGGGGGCCGCTGACCCCTCGGCCGCGCAGGCCCCTCGGGCGAGGGCCCGCATGCGGGAGGCGAAGGTCGGGCGTCTGGTGGCGTACCGGGGCGAGGAGGTGAAGCGCTGCCGCGTTGGCAAGGTGCCCAGCCTGGCGGAGGATCTGAGCAGCATCACGGTCCACGTCTACCACGCGGCGGTCGACGGTAGACTCCAGGTGGTTTGGGCCGCCGCGTGCGACAGCAAGGAGGGCGCCGACTTCCAGCGCCAGAGTGTCGAAACGCTGGAGGCCAAGCGCGCGCTGGGCGTCGTGGGGCTGAACAAGGGCGTGGTCGACCACGCGGCGGCTAGCAGGCTGGCGCGGGCAGGCTGGCGGCTTGGCGAGAGCGCTGTCAGGCACGGCGCGCTTGCGGCGGCGGCGGCGCATCCTGCAGCCCGGCTCTCCGACCCCCCCTCGAGCCGCGTCGGTGCGCGGATGGCGGCTTGCCGCCCGATGGACGAGCTCGACTTGCGGATCGGCAAAGCAGGCCTGGGCGCAGGGCGCGCCACTCTTCGCGGAGATCTTCGACGGGGCTAGGAGACTGTCGCAAGCCATGCATAGCTTGGCGGTGGCGGCTGGTTCGGGCGTCGGCGGCGCAGACGGCGCGTCCTGCTGCGCGGTCGCGGGGGTCGATGTTAAGCGGGGCACCTGCGGCCAGTGACCGCATGCCGATGATAATCAAGTTGCCCCCCCCCTTAAGTCATTAGAGTTTATTATCGTCTCCCTATATAATTCAAATTGGGCGGCGAGCGTTGAGGCCGAACTTCATCAT